AGAAAACAATAGCATAACACCAAAAAAAAAAAACAAGAAAAAAAAAACAAAACAAGAACACACTTACAGCAGTCATCATTTGAAGGGTCCCCTTCAGAACTGGAATATCGCGGAGCCCATTATGATCAGCCATGTCCACTGGCATCAACAGGGTCTTGGTCAGGTCAAAAGAAAAATCTTTGGAAGCAACAACCAAATCGAAAGTAGAAATGGGCCTGCCTTGATGCAACATTGGCGGCTCCCACTTCTCAAATGGCTCGTCCTCAATGGGATCTTCAGAAGCTTCTCCAACTACTGTCTTTCTAGTCTCCCTCCTCCTCTTCTTCGCTCTTGCAGCAACCGAAGCAGAAGGTTCGGCAACAGTAACATGAGTTCCAGAAGCTCCAACCTCCAATTTCACATCCATGAGGCTCTTCGTTGAGGCCTTCATTGAAGGAGCCTCTAAAGCATCAGAGGAGCCAAATGCCTCATCATCCAAATCCACTAGCACTCTCCTTTTCGACATAGACCCACCCCCTGTGAAACTGGGGGTAGGAGAAGGTGTCCTCTTAGACGGTACACCCTGGCTTCGGCGACGATTCGTAACCAGAGGGGTAAGGGATGTATCAGTCTCAGTGTCAGAATCTAGAAGGATGCAGCAAGCCTCGCCTTCTTCAGAATAATGGAGCGGTAAGTCACTTGGTAATCCAATAGCTCGGGCGTGGACCTCTTCTTGTACCTCAAAACGGCTTTGATGGCCCCAGTGTTCTCCCGGTTCGGCCTGCGCTGAAAATGGGAAGCCTCTGCAGAAAAGAAGGGCAATATTAGAGCAACATTCAAAACAAGGCAAAAAATACAAAAGACACTAGAAGGAAGGAATCGAACCTGGGTAGCCATCCTTCTGGGGCATGCGTTCGGACTGGAACTCAGTCCCAGCAGGGAATTCCCAATTACCTCCTTCTTGCAGAAAATCATCATTATGTTTGTCTAAATCAGGCAAACCAGTCACCAGATGACAATCGATCGAACGAACACGGAGGTAGCACGTGCTGTGATCCTTGTTGTGTGAAAGAGTGTAGCAGCCCCTAAAATGTTCCAGATGTCAAGATTCAAACCCAACCACTTGTTAAGAGCGGACACACCACAGACGACTCGAAACAGGTTAACAGACACCTGTATAGGGGTAAGCTGAACTTGGTGCAAAAATCAGGGCACCAGAGGGTCGAGGGGAAACCGAACCCCTCCCTCAACAATGGCCGTAACTGGAAAGGCGACAATACTCCTAGTGCCCATGCGCTTGGCATCAACCTTTGCCACCGAAAGGGTCACATCATTAGAGATATTATAATCTTGGTGAAACAAGGCCATAGCCTCAGGGGTATCAACTAATGAGCAGAACTTCCCCATTAATCAAACCTAACGAGACAGAGACTAAACTAAGACAACAAGACGCCGGAGACAATGGCCCAAGGGCCAAACAAGCCGATCAAAATAGAAAAAGAGAGGAAAAGAAGAACCACAGGGGAACTTACAAAGATCAGGACTGCGATGGCGAGCAGGCAGCGCTGAAACGAGAATGGCAGCGGAACGTCTGGACAGAGCACCGACAAGACTAGCTCAGAGGAACAGAAAGGGTTTTGAACTCTCTAAAAGTTTGAAAACAGACGAAGGGGTTTGATTGATAGCTCCACAGCATTTATTGCACCAGTCGGCGTGAAGGTACACTAAGCACAACCATCGGTATGGAATCGGTGCACTATCTGTGCGCACTAATACCACGCCGCCACGTGTCACCATGAAAGGACACATGCAGGGGGTGTGCATCAGGATTGAACCGTCACCAAGGCCGAGCTAGGGCAAACCCGAAGCGACGCGACGCGACGCTTGGTGTACAGAACAATAGCTCTCCTCAAGGGGAACCTTAGCGCGAGCTAAGGGACAAATGAAAGAGCTAAATATGAAATGGGTCAGATCCAAGCCTTGGGCCGGTCTAATCTTCTAAACCCAAATCCAAATGGGTCAGATAAACATGTAGGCAAGCCAACTAAGCCCAATTCCATTACCAACAGTCCACCCATGTCCTCAAGCACTTGGGCCCAACTCGCACTGGAAAGGCCAATCCAACCATGATACTGGGCTGAGCCGAGCTACAAGACTCAAACCATAGGTCGAACTGATGGGTTAAACCCATCATCAGAACCGAAGTGGGCTGAGTCCAAATAAAGATATATGAATGGGCCAGCCCATCTCTACAGTAGTCCCACAAAGGGTCGAGCCGAGGCACAAAGGTGCCGAGCTGAGAGAACCTCTCAGAGAAACGTGGAAGCTGTGAGTATATGCATGTGTAAGTTGCCACCTCAGCTGGTCCCCTACACCTAGAATCACGGAAACAGTTAAACCAGAGGAATGTGGTTTATTATTAGCATGACTACAATGGGTATATGCACATCATGACAATTACTAGATGGTCCCCCACCTTGGGCAATACTAAAAGAAAACTAGGCAGCACCAGAGCTCCATGAAACCATCTTGGGCAATAAGCAAGGAGTTCTATATAAACTACACAGACTTCACATTGAAGGTAACTGATCTAAGCTGAACCCTACTTACTAAAACTCAACTCTCTATACTTAGGGAGCACTTGGCTTCTTCTTCGATTACTCATTCCCACACCGAAGGGGTTTTCTGACCAACCCCGGCCGGACAACTCTTACGGTGTTCCTTGTTGCAGGACCCCAATTCCTAGATAGTCCAGTCGAGTGCGTAGTTCCAATCCACTTTCATCTAGTGTGGTATCCGATACGCACAATAATTTCAAATAAAACCAAGAGAATGGAATTATGATAATTGGATGAGCGGGGCATGTCTTGGCAAATGACAGGAAGGATGACATGGAGAATATTCAAACATGTTTAAAAGAAAATAGTTAAAGAATAATAATATTTTAAAAGAATATAGTTAAAGTAGAGTTTTTTTTTATTATTTACTTATTTAAATAGAAGTAGATAGTTCGTTAGAATGTATGTTTAAAAAATGATTAGCTAAAATAGTAAAGTGAAATTTTGGATAGTTAATTTAGTTATGTTTGTTGAAAATGCTCTAAGTCATAGGCTTAATGAAATCAATAGGAAAGTGCCTAAAATAAATCTAATTCATATGTTTTATATTTTAGATATTATTTTTTTAGATACTTGTTTTGTTTTTGCTGCTTTTGTTTTCATGGTGGAATATAAAAAATATTTATGGTATATAAATAAAATTGTTTTTTGGAGCGTTGAAATTGAAACCACTAGTGCTGCGTTTGTTTTGTAGATGTCCGCCCTCCGGTGGTGGTTTTAGTGGCGGTTCCAAATTTTTTTATCCAATTGGAATTTTTTTTAAAAGTTTTATTTAAATGTCTCAACTCAGTGCAATGTTTTTCTCTTGATTTTACAAAACCTGAACCATAATAAGTAGAAGGGACTGGCTCTCTCCTGTCTTTATTTGGATTAGAGGGCTATTTGGATCTGTGATACTCCATTTGTTATGAGTTTGGTTTCGATAATTTAAAATATTTTATTGGGTGTAAATAGTCTTCTCTAATCTAGATAAGAACTAGAGATGTCTCCCCATTTGAGAATTAAGATTTTTAATTAAAAAGTCACTATAAATTATTATTACTCTTTTATATTTTTTTACACATTTTTTTTATAAAAAATAAAAAAAAATTAACTAAAATAGGCATATTTTTGGAACTCAGCTAAAAGATAACTTTTTAACTTTTTTTTTAATCACATCACCTTTATATTTTTTTACACATTTAAAAAAAAAACTTTTTAATCTACTTTCCAATATTCAATTCTCAAACGGCTTGCACGAAGTAAAATTAGAAGAATGCTAATTTTATGATATTTGTGAAAGTTAGAATTGATGTGATATGTTCTAATTTGTTAAAAAGATGAGGATATTCTTTTTATGATATTTATGAAAGTTAGAATGGGTGGGTGTTTGACAAGTTACTATTTTAGTAAGTTATTTTAGTTTTTGATTATTTTAGTAGGTTAAAATTTTTATATTTGAAAAGATGATAGGATTTTTTTGTAGTTAGATATGATATTTGTAATAGAAAAAGTGAAATGATTATGAGTTTGATGCGATATTTTGTCTTATTGGATATTTAGTAGGGGTGGTCCCGATTGGATTTTGGAGGGTTTGCGGATCGCTTTGGACGGACTCGCATGTCTGCGGTTTGGGAAAAATTTAACCAGTAACCAACCGCAGTGCGGGTTGCAGTTTATGCGAGTAGGGTTCACGAGTTGCAATTTATGCGGGTAGGGTTCGCAGATATGCGGGCGATGGAGAGCGGTTGCGGACGGTTTGCGGATTGGACTTTTTCCTTTAAACAATAAGTATAGTTCAAAAAAAAATAATAATAATAAAAAAACAATAAACAATAAGAAACTAAATTCATCCAAGTTATCAAAGCCACACACAACAACTATATATATTTTCAATTTGTTATGAATCTTTAATTTGTTTATATTTTCAAGTGTATATATTTTGGTAGGCACACAGTAATTCTTGTCAAACTTCAATAAAAGTATTTGATCAATGGATACGTAACAACATTAAATTGCGAAAAAATCAAAAAGTATTCTTCATTTTCACTGGTTGTAGTATTGATTTAACCCAAAAAAAAAAAAAGTATGTCTAGTTTTTTTTAGATTGTAATGTGTAAATTATTTATGTCAAAAATCAAGTTGAGCTGATAATCGTAGCTACGGTGATTTATTACGTTTGTCCTTAAAAAATGAATAGCTTAGTTCTTAAATAATATTTGTTATTTATTTTTTGCAAATCTATATAATAAGACAGAACAGTTTTTGAATTTGAATGGTGAAGATTCATTTGTCTATTTACATGAACGGCTAAGATTACCCATTAAATATGTGTCAATCCCCTTCCCGCCCAAACACTAAAGTAACTGCTCACCCACATCTCATCTCCAGTCTACTCACCCACGTCTCATCTCCTTCTATCTTTATCTCTCTGGTCTCCAGCCCTGTTCTTCTTCTTCTTCTGCTCTCCAGGTCAGATCACTTTTCAATTGTTCTTGCAATTGTTCTTTATCTTTTTTGATATTTTCAGATGGAGAAACCTCTGGACCTTCACAACGAATTTGGATTTCGGTTCTGTAGATCAAGTTCGTGATCTTGAGACCCGATTGGGACCCAACAAATTCCAGAAGCAATTTCGCTCGCTGGGTCGACTTCGCGATCGCAAGGTAAGTTCTCTGATTCTCCTCTTCATTTCAGTAAACAACTCGATACACTACTCTGATTCTCCTCTTCATTTCAGTAAACAACTCGATACACTACTCTGATTCTCCTCTTCATTTCAGTAAACAACTCGATACACTACTCTGATTCTCCTCTTCATTTCAGTAAACAACTCGATACACTACTCTGATTCTCCTCTTCATTTCAGTAAACAACTCGATACACTACTCTGATTCTCCTCTTCATTTCAGTAAACAACTCGATACGCTACGGTACAGAAGAGTTTGATCGCAAGTTGTAGATGTCCCCCCCCTGGTGGTGGTTTTAGTGGCGGTTCCAAATTTTTTTATCCAATTGGAATTTTTTTAAAAAATTTTATTTAAATGTCTCAACTCAGTGCAATGTTTTTCTCTTGATTTTACAAAACCTGAACCATAATAAGTAGAAGGGACTGGCTCTCTCCTGTCTTTATTTGGATTAGAGGACTATTTGGCTCTGTGATATTTGTTATGAGTTTGGTTTCCATAATTTAAAATATTTATTTTATTGGGTGTAAACAGTCCTCTCTAATCTAGATGAGAACTAGAGATGTCTCCCCATTTGAGAATCATGATTTTTAATCAAAAAATCACTATAAGTTATTATTATTCTTTATAATTTTTTACACATTTTTTTTTATAAAAAATTAAAAAAAATTAACTAAAATAGGCATATTTTTGGAACTCAGCTAAAAGATAACTTTTTAACTTTTTTGATCACATCACCTTTATATTTTTTTATACATTTTAAAAAAAAAAACTTTTAAAAAAACTTTTTAACCTACTTTCCAATATTCAATTCTCAAACGGCTTACACGAAGAAATATTAGAAGAATGCTAATTTTATGATATTTGTGAAAGTTAGAATTGATGTGATATGTTCTAATTTGTTAAAAAGATGTGCATATTCTTTTTATGATATTTATGAAAGTTAGAATGGGTGGGTGTTTGGCAAGTTATTATTTTAGTAGGTTATTTTAATTTTTGATTATTTTAGTAGGTTAAAATTTTTATATTTGGAAAGATGATAGGATTTTTTTGTAGTTAGCCTCCGTTTGGCAAGTTGGATTGGAGGCTTTTTTGGCTATTTTAGCCACAAAAGACAAAATAGGCTATTTTAACCACAAAAAACAAAACATCACATCCAACCCATAATTATTACACTCTTCTCTCACAAAAAAAAGTTAAAAAAGCCAAAAAGCCAAAAAGCCCTTCCCAAACCAAGCTTTTTAGCCCAGGCTAAAATAGCCAAAAAAGTCAAAAAGCCAAAAAGCCAACCCACTTCCCAAACCAAGCCTTAATATGATATTGGTGATAGAAAAAGTGAAATGATTATGAATTTGATGTGACATTTTGTCTTATTAGATATTTAGCAGGGGTGGTCGCGGTTCGATTTTGGAGGGTTTGCGGATTACTTTGGACCTGCCCGTATGTCTGCGGTTTGGGAAAAATTTAACCTGTGACCAACCGCAGTGCGGGTTGCAGTTTATGCGAGTAAAGTTCGCGAGTTACAGTTTATGCAGGTAGGTTTCACGGATATGCGGGCGATTGTGAGCGGTTGCGGACGATTTGTGAATTGGACTTTTTCCTTTAAACAATAAGCATAGTTCAAAAATAAATAAATAAATAAATAAACAATAAGAAACTAAATTCATCCAAGTAATCAAAGCCACACACAACAACTATATATATTTTCAATTTGTTATGAATCTTCAATTTGTTTATATTTTCAATTGTATATATTTTGGTACACACACAGTAATTGTCGTCAAACTTCAATAAAAGTATTTGATCAATGGATACATAACAACATTAAATTGCAAAAAAATTAAAAAGTATTCTTCATTTTCATTGGTTGTAGTATTGATTTAACCAAAAAAAAAAAAGTATGTCCAGCTTTTTTTAGACTGTAATGTGTAAATTATTTATGTCAAAAATCAAGTTGAGCTGATAAATTGTAGCTACGGTGATTTATTACATTTGTCTCTTAGAAAATGAATAGCTTAGTTTTTAAATAATATTTGTTATTTATTTTTTGCAAATAAATATTATAAAGTAACATGATTATGATTATAGAATCTACTTAATTTTTTTCATAAATTATTTAAATATTATGACTTAAAAAATAAATAATTTAAATTACCAAAATAAGACCGTAATGTGCCTATTGGCATGAATAACGCTGTCTAGTTCATTTTATTGACGGTAGAGAAGCTTGTACCATAGAGAGTAGGAATTTAAGTGCAACAAACAAGGACAATGTTACAACAAGCAAACAATAATGATTGACACTCTCATTTTTTAGAGACCCTCACAATTCATTTTGTATCTCCACCATTGATGGTGTGGGCCTCACATTTACATGAGTGGATCCCATACATATATCAATGATGGAAATCCAAAGGAATTATGGAAGTCTTTAAAAAATGAGGGCCTCAAGCATTTTTTACAAACAAATTAAGGGACAGACAAATTAATATTAAAATAAAAATTTATTATTATTTTCTGAAATTAGTTAATGGAGTCTGGTGGTGGATGCCCCTGGGTGGGTTGGGGCACCAATAATTTCTTCCATTTAAGGTTTTGGGAGATGGGGGTTTGCTTAGTAATGATGGAAAACCGTTGTTAGTTAAAACTGGATGTTTATATCAGGGAAATGTCAAATCATTAGCACAGTAGAAAATTATTTATATTTTTACGGTTATATAATTTTACTGTGTATATAATATAAAATTTTCATATGCATAATATTAGTCCTCACTGTATATTAAAATTACACCACAAAAAATTTCATAATAATTTCTCCAATGTTATATACTTATTTGCAATTTCTTCGTTAGACTACTACTAGCTGAGTTTGCTTTGGAAAATAGTAATAACAGTTTCTGTGCTTTTTTTTTTTTTGGGTACAATTTCTGTGCCTTTTCAATTCTTTAACCAACCACTTGAATTGAAGCCCCTAACCTCTTTCTTTGAGTGTGAGTGATATAGACGTGATGGTCCCTACTTAACTACAGTAGTATCTCCGACATGTTAGGTGAAAGGGGAGATTAATGTTCCAGCATATAGCATTACCAACCTTCATTGTTAAAGGAAATGTAGGGATCACTTCACTTTTCTAAAACTCCACTGTGATTAGGACTAAAATGCAAAACTTGGGAAACTATTTTGGTCTGCTATGTGCATACCATGTACACTTGTATAAGCTCTCATATATACACATAAATTATCTCATAAAATTGTGTAAGTTTTCACAAATATACATAAGTTGTGATTTTTTAAATTTTTATAAGTTAATTTACATATATTTGTGAAAACTCACGTGATTTTATGAGGTAAGTTGCGCATATTTATGAGAATCTAAACTCCTTTTTTTTTTTTTTTTGGGTCTTGTTTAATCGCGGTCAAGGCCAAAAAAATGATGTCTTAAAAGAAAAGTTATTTAGTGATTCTAGACATGATTAAGTGATATCTTAAGAATATTGTAATTGATGAAAAAAATGTGGTTCACGATTTGGTGTTGAATGATTGGAACAATAAAGGAACATGTGATTCGGTAATTAGTGAGAGTATTGCCATGCGGTGTTCTAAGAGTACCCAATAATTTTTTTGTCTTAAAATAAAACATTGGCCTCCCTCCACAGTTGGCAGAATTGCATCTGGTGTTACAAGTATATATAATTACAATGACTTCCTCTCAAACAAGACATATGATGACAAAGTTAATGGAATTAAAAATCATAAATTATACCAAGTGAGCTATTCATTATCTTTCAAGCACCTAACAAATAGAATCAACAAAAATTATAAATAAATAAATAAAACATATCTCTACATGGAAAAACATTCAATTATTTATTTATTTTTTAATTAGAAAATAAATATAAAGCATTAACGTGTATTTGTAGCATTGTCATCAAAACCAAACAGAGAGTAAGAGAGTTCAACCAACTAGAGCGGAATCAATATTTTAACTGTTTAAGTTTGGTTTGAAAATTTTAATTAATTTTAAAATTTGTTCAAGTTTGATTTATTAAACTTTCAAGTCAATCTCAAACGAATTTATGTCCAACCAAGCTCAACTAGTTTGGTTAGACTTATTGAACCTAGTTGAATAAGTAATTGATTGTTCAAACTTAATTTGAAATCTTTAACGAGTTTTAAAATGTGTTCAATCTTGACTTGTTTACTTTATGAATTGAGTTCGAATGAACTTTTTACGAGTTGAATACGAACGGTTGGTTCGTTTATCACTCTACAAGCAACAAAAAAATAAAAATGAAAGGGTTGGGTTCAGTTGAGCTCAATTCTGACTCGGTCCAGTTAACCATAGAAGTTGGATCTGTCAAATTTAACCCAATTTCAAAGAGGAAAACCCATTCAATTTCTGATCTCTCATTGTAATGACTGCTAAGTCAGGTAATATGTGAGAAGTTATTTGGTTCACACCATTCATTGGAAAAGAAAAGGAAAACCATTGTTTTCCCATTCTAATAAATTTCCAGTTAAAAAGTTATTAAAATGGTCAGAAATCATAAGAGGAAATGACATCTAGATTAAAATTTTATAATGTTTGTTGATCATATTCTATTTTCATGTCCATTTTCCATGATAACCAAGAAAATCATATTTGTTTTCCATGATTTTGCATTTAGTTTCTAGTCTATCTCAAAAGCGAACTTAACCAAGTTCATAATAAATACCCTTATCAGTTAAATTAGAGTAATTATTATGTTTTTTTCGGAACATCAAATTGGCTGTGTTTGCCCAATAATTAACTGCTACATGCTTCCAGAGGACAAATAAGGTTCCAAAACTTTAATTCTAAAACTTAAGGTTCGTGTTTAAATCTTAAATTTGCGAAAGAATATGTGCCAGAAAAAGAAATTAAAGAGAAGGGAAACATGTATAAAGTAGAAACTATATTTTTTTTTCCAACTCATTTATTTGCCTCCACAAATCTAACATCCAAACACATAAGGATTGTTAACAGGATTGCCTGGCACTGTTTGACTACATTCTGATACAAAGAACCGGAAATTTTAAATCAAAAGAACATAAGGAATGAAAATTTGCCTCAACATTGTGAAAAATATTCACTGAATTTTAAAAAGAGAAAAGAGGTCTAAACATTGATCTGTTCTTGGTCACTCACCAAACACAACAGACAGATGAAACCAGTGAATCATTTTACGGTCTTCGAGTGTTTTATAAGCCAGTCAATGACGGCGTCTATGTTCACCGAATCCTTGCATGAGATCATGTAGCAGCATACTTCTCTGTCGCTGATCGAGTCAAGACCTCTGCAATTAAGAGGAACATAAAACATAGAAAACAGAGAAAACATAATGCAGCAGACAACAATCCATTGCAGGGTTTACGCAAAACTTACAGTTGATCCACCAGTGCTTGCTTGGTAAGAGCTTCCGACTTATCAATTTTGTTACCAAGAACAAGTAATGGAATTTCAGCTAAGGATGGTTTTGTGAAGAGGTCATGTAGCTCACTTCGAGATATGGGAACACTGTCCCTATCAGCGGCATCAACAACATAGCTGTCTTTACATGGAGAGCCAAGAAATTAATCCAATTGAAAAGAAGTACATCAACATAAATCACATATGGAGGATGGAAAATTTAGAATCCTACAAACTTGGATCATTTAGAATGATTGTTGACAAAATTCAAAAACTATACGATACAAAAGAGGGAAGTTCAAGAGACAGAAGACTTACAGAATAGCAGAGACCCCCCGACAGTAACGCTCCCACATGCTGCGAAACCTCTGTTGGCCTCCAAGGTCCCAAAGTTTGATTGTCACATTACCTTTTGTAACTTTTCGCATATTAAACCCCACCTGGTTTGTAGGGAACACATAAATCTCCTATCTAAGATTTCTTAATGTTACATACCAGAGAGCATACAACTGATTTTGTTACAAGGAAAAGATACCTACAGTTGGAATCATATCCTCACTGTAGCCTCCTGTCTGTTGAAAATTTAAAGAAAGAGGATAGTTAAAAGATCTGCTGATAAAAAGAACCAGAAGTGAATATACATGGTATATTTTGGTATGGGAAGATTTTCTTGTTTACTCACAGCAATGGCATTTACAAGAGATGTCTTTCCTGCATTCTGAAGGCCAACGAGGGAGAGTTCCATTTCTTGTTTAAAGAATAAGCTGAAATGCTTACATGGTAAGAAGAAGAAGAAGAAGAAGAGAGAAAGTGAGAATTTTCCAAAAAGAAATAAAGAAACTATTCTGTAGTAAGAGAATAGTGCACAAGTGGAGTGGGTTCTTTTCCTCTTGACGAAATCTAGTTATATGACTCACTTTACCTTCCTAGTGTTTGGAAATCAAAGAAAAGTAAAAAAGCGAAGATCTAGAAGAAAATTATTTCCATAATTCAAAATACCCATGCTTATGACCTTTTATATCATTTAGCATGCAGTTTGAATACTTAATAACATACTTGAATTCAAACAATTATGAAAAAATGTATTCAAGCAAACTCACCAGGCAATTTATGTAGAAGAAGAATGACAACAATTGAACACATTCTCACAGGTGACATTATTCATGAATTTGTATAACATGAGAAAAATGTTTAACAGTCCTGTATGAATTTAAAACAACTTTCCGAATATGCAAACCTGTAAACCATTACTTCCTACATGGATGTCATGCTGTTAATATGTGCAAAACCAAAAATAGTTTAGTTTTTTTAGATGAATAAGAAAACTGCTCATAAAACATAGAGATGAGAAGCAAGGGAAAATGATTTGACACTCAAAAATTATCAGCCTGTCTTCCACTTCATTAAATAGCCCCTCTCACATCCCTCACAAAAGCAGGTCCAAATCCAAACCAAACATGACAAGTTAAGAAAGGGCAACAAATAAGATCTAGCAGAGACGGGTGCCAAATAAGTAAAATGGACAGGTTTCACTCTGTTTAGTTTATTCTATGTCTAAACCTAAACCCAGCTTTAAAGCACCATAAACACAGTAGATGACATTGATAGAGTTGGAAAGGGAGAGAATCTGCAAGCTGAAAAAATTAAATCAATGAATGGAGTACCTCTATGTCTCAAAACACCAAATCTCTATATTCTTAGTCATTCAAAACTCACCAAATCGCTCTATTCTTAGTTTGTAAGTAACCTACTAAGGGCCTTAGCAACATAATGAAACAATGGAGATAAAGAGGTTTCTTAAACCAAATCTACTCTTGGGAGAAATGGTTCACAAAATTGTAAAAAGGAAGATAAAGGAACACACTAAAGCCACCCTTATCACATCCAAATTCATCTACCAAAATATATGAAGCAAGCAGATCTTAATAGCATGTTTAAAATCTACTTAACAACAATTAAACCACTTCACATAGGCAAAGTTACTGGTGATGACACAGCATACTATTTTTATGTGAACAGCTTAGAATAATCTTCTAGACATCTGAATTAGCAAGTGTAGAAATCCAATCACCACTTCACATAGGCAAAGTTACTGGTGATGACACAGCATACTATTTTTATGTGAACAGCTTAGAATAATCTTCTAGACATCTGAATTAGCAAGTGTAGAAATCCAATCACCACTTCACATAGGCAAAGTTACTGGTGATGACACAGCATACTATTTTTATGTGAACAGCTTAGAATAATCTTCTAGACATCTGAATTAGCAAGTGTAGAAATCCAATCACCACTTCACATAGGCAAAGTTACTGGTGATGACACAGCATACTATTTTTATGTGAACAGCTTAGAATAATCTTCTAGACATCTGAATTAGCAAGTGTAGAAATCCAATCACCACTTCACATAGGCAAAGTTACTGGTGATGACACAGCATACTATTTTTATGTGAACAGCTTAGAATAATCTTCTAGACATCTGAATTAGCAAGCGTAGAAATCCAATTACCACACATTCTTTTTGAAATCCAAACTGATAAAGTAACACTTGCTCTCATGAGTCACAACAAACCCAGCCTATTCATATTGTTATTTTTTAATTGTCATTATTACCATTAAACCACAATGAACCACTCGCCCAAGTTTTTTGAAGAAAGCTATGCATGCCTTGTTCCAATCTTGTGCACTATATTTGTAAATGTCAAATACTGCCAAAAAATCCACTCATGTACCCCAGTTCTAATGAGAAGATGTTAAAGCTCCATTCGTCTGTTCCAGCCTAAAAGTGGCTGTTTACATGTGTAACATTGCAGTGCATTCCCTCCATTTGTTCTGTGTTGTTGTCTTTCTGTCTCCTAGTTAGGTAATCAAACTCCATCTTCACATATGATGCAATAACTTGCTCATATTCCACTCCTTGAATCTCCCATCAGTAATTTTAGGTTTCAGCCTCCATTTGATCTCCTACTTCCACCTTTGCATCAATCATACAACTAAAATTTTAATTGGCAAGTGTTCCTTGGGGTTTAGCCTATTCAGCCCCTCTCCACAATTTCAAACCCTGTACATACCTGAAAACCCATTCTCAGGTAAACTTTTTTCAGGTCATCTACTCTAACAAATGGAAGACAAAGAAGGAAAGTGACTAGAAGGCAACTAAATAAACCTACCAACTTATTTCTTTTTTAAAGTCATCATTATTCACTGATTTTCTTTTTAACTATAACCTAGACCCTCAAATGTTGTACTACTCAAAAGACCTTTAATAAATTATTATCAAAACTAAAAATAGACCAAGAATATTCTTTAACTTTTATGATGAGTAAATGGACCAAGTATGTTTAACATGACCATGCTCTTTATGAGGATATGCTCCATAAACAAATTCTCCAAACAAGTAACTTGTTAAACATCAATAATGTTCAATGGAACATCTACCAAAGCAAGATGAATTGAATATAGAATTTTATACAAACAAAAATAGAAAAAGAAAAAAATAAGCTTTAACTTCGCAATTGAACACGAGACATTTTGTTGGAAAGTTGATTACTTTTTCTTTATACAATACCTAGCCAAAAGGTATAAAAATATAAAGACGAATTAATAAAGCAAATTCTCCTGACAAATAATGTATGAGACTGAGACATCAACAATGTCCAATGGGACATCAAACAAAGCAAGACAATTGAACATTGAATATTTTTTTTAAATAAATCGAAAAAACAAAAAACTAGCTTCAACTCTGGAATCATAGAATGAGACATTTTGTTAGAAAGTCAATCTCTTCTTCTTTATCGAACACTTAGCCAACAAGTTTAAAAAAGCATTAACTTAGTAGAATCTCATAAATCTTAATCGTTACTACACCAACATCAATGTTCTTGTTACACTTGAATTCTGTGTATATTATTTGCGCCTGAAAGTGGTTTGGTGGGACAAGTGGACTCAGGAGTTGGGGGAAAGTTGTGGTTGCCCATGAAGGGCTTAGGGCTCCTACTACTCCAGGTTCTTTCGGCATTTTGAATCAGAATAGGCACAACCCAGCTCATTCAATCACAACTACAATCTTATTATAATATACTTCAGCATCAAAGTTAAAAGGCATTATTGAGGCTCTCCTCGAGGCCTGACTAAGGCAAAACGCATCAAGGTTTTGATTTTTAGGCTATACTCTCAACTGCCTTAGGTGCACCTTGTATGCCTTTTGCGCATAAGCATATGAGTACGTATATGAAGAGCTTGTCTTAGGCTCTTGTTAAACTAAATTTAGTAGATGGTTAAAACATTAAAAAGCAAAAAATAAAAAATAACTCCTTTGCAACTATATTTTATAGGAAAAATTAAGTAAATGACCAATCAAGAAAAAACACAAAGTTAATGCTCAAGTGAGAAGCATAATCACTACAACTAAGAATGTCAATTTTACTTTCAATGAGGGAAAGCTTCCTTCTTTGCAATGAACTGTTCAGCACCTTAAGAAGAAAAATATTTACGCTTTTATATTTAATTTTTTTATTTTTTTATTACGAAATATAAAAATTTGAAATTTGAAATGCTTACGCCTTGACGGCTTAAGACTTATGCCTAGCCTCATGAAGTGTAAAACGTCTCACGTTGCACACTCATCTTTAAAAACTTCATTCAGCATTCAGAACTGTTCTAGACCATTACCCAACATCACATTATCTACTTGCATAATGTACCTGAAGTCAAAATCTAGGAGATACAAGATGAAGCTCTAAACGAATATGATCAGTAATGTAAACTATGCAGCCACCTTTTATCTATGTCCTGAATTATTATAAGAACGAAAACAATCTCTCCAATGAACTTCACAGGTATGATGTGCTAAATAGCAACTAATCCCGATCAATTTATTGTTCTATTGCACATGAGTCTACATGTTAGTAAGAGTTGGTGAAGATTGATCAAGCTAAATATGGAAACCCTACCCCAACCACTACCCAAACTTTTCAATACATTATTGCAGTGGCCCTAAAATCGAATTACAAGGTAATGTCAACTACAGAATTTGCTCTTACACATATTTCCGTTGAGCTGATATCCCCATTGCTTTCCTTCTTAAGTACACTATATAAAATATTTGATTACAATAGTGATCTTGTGCAAATAAAGCATATCAAGCTTGATACTAATACTTGAGATTCCTGTCTACAACAACCCACCTAAATACAATCTTTTTTATAAAAACAGCCCACTTATATACAGTCAAATTATAAACAGAGTGGAAGGATACAATATCCCCAAAACTATTGTAGAAGATCATCAGGACTTCTCTCTGTGGACCAAAATATGTGGTGAAGAAAGAAAATAAAAGAACCAAACAAAGGTGGTTGAACAAAAGGATTTACTAGTACTTCAGTTTGCAACGATGGCAAATTACACTAACCGTTCCTATAGCTTAGGATTTGTATTATTTTGGTCCCTAACTTTTCAATTGTGACATATTTGATCCTAAATTTTGAATTTTGTTTCAAATAAGAACAATTGAAGATACAATTACTCAATGTGAAGGGCAAAGTCGTCAATTTGATAAAATATTTTTTTGACATTTATTTTTATCAAATTAGCTTATATTTTATCAAATTGATGACTCTGTCTTTGAAATTGAGTAATTGTATCTTTAATTATCTTTATTTAGACAAGATTTAAAATTCAGAATTAAATGTCACAATTAAAAAGTCAGAAATAAAGTGACACGAGTTCCAAATTATAAAAACCGTAATTTGCCCTTGCAACAACATTAAGAAAACAACAATGTTAGGTGGCCCAAAAAATCATGGCTCGAATGGCTCAAAACATCCAAAACGACATTGTTTTGACACATTTGAGCCATTGGAGCCACAAAAATTCGGCCACCAAACATTTTCCTTAAAAAAAATACAAAACCAAAAAGGTAAAAAACCTGTTCTCCAAAAGGTTCTGATAAGTGGCGGTTGAGTTCCAGAAGCAAAAACAAATATACAAATTCTGTCATTTCGACCTATCAAATTCTTGAAACCCAAAAAACTAGTTATTCAATCCAAATTGTATAGTTCTTAATTGGGTTAATTTCGTTATACATTTTCAAAGAGCCAAAGAATCCAAAATCTTGCCTTCAATTTCCATGTCGTTTCCCAGAAACCAAACAGATGCAAAAGTAACTAAAATTTCTTCTTTCAAAGTAGGCTGTTCTTGAGCTTAAAAGCTTCATTTTTTGTGACAAAGGTGAGACCAGGTTGATGAACAACATTTAAAAGAAAAATAAGAGAAAGAAAATCTGAGAAATTTCATCTAAAAAATGGAAGATTAGAAGAGAATGAGTAAATTACCTGCGGAGCCAATTGAGGAGGGAATCCCACAACCCCATCTCAGAGAAAACGAGAGTTTAAGATGAATCAAATGGAGTTGTCAAGAAAACCCTAGTTTCTTTTTTCGTTATTTTTATTGAGTTTTCTGAGAAAACAATCAAAGCAAAGCAAAGCAAGCAACGAGGCGTAGAGTGAGGGCAGGAAACGAAACTTCGCCGCCTCGGCTGAGAATCTTTCTTTTTTTTTTTAATTGTCTGTTTTCTGGCAATTTCCGCCGTAAAATAATTTCACTCTGGAAATTCTAGAATGCGACGTCAAGTATAGGAGCTCCGGAGGATGACGTGACCTCTCTACTTGGCTTCCACGTGGCATGGAAATCCAAATTGGCTTGGCGCTTTTCTTTCTGAATTTCATATTTCACTCATATGGGTTGGTTGGTTTCGGAAGCGGTCGGCTTTTTGATTTTTTATTTATTTTAGATTGGGGTTAAAAAGTTTAGTTTGAGAATGATTTTTTAGTTTTTTTAATTTTTTGTTAGAGAAAAAATGTAATGATTATAAATTAGATGTACTATTTTATTTTATTAGACTAAAAAATATATTTTGTCTTTTTGTGATTAAAATAGCTTCAAACTCAACTCAACCCAACCCAACCCTTCTTCTGAAACGAAGCCATATTTAGGTTAAGATTATTTTAAGAAATAACTATTTTAATTGATTTTTAAATTTTTTATAAAAGAATATGTAAAAGATAATTTTTAATAAAAAAAAGAAGTTAATTTTTTAACCATTTTAGATTGTTGTCAAATTGGTCCTTAAGCAAAAAGTTTATTTTGATGGGGTGTATGAAATTAGATTGAAAGGTTATTTTATTTTAGTTGTAAAAACACGATTAATGAAAGAACTTAGCTTCCCTTTAGTTATGGATCTTGAATGAAGGGTATTCTTTAGGTCCGTGAAATTCACTATAGATCTTGTTTTAATTATTCAAATTATTCATTTTATTGGGTTTTTCATATATATTATTCACACAAAAAATTAGATAAATTCAATAATCATTACATATTCAATTTATTACATTTATCTCTAAAATAAATGAACGAGAAGTGCATTTTAAAAAATTGACTATCTTTTTTTTGTTGGTGACAAACACCGTAAATTGAATACTCAGCGAATATCAAATTGACCTAATTTCTTTTTATCGATGATGCAAAGGCCTTGACAAAAAATGAACGGTCATTGAAACGAGACTTGTGGTGGGTCTAACAAGCCCCACCATGAGCCCAGACAACACCTTTCCACTCCAAATCATGGACTAAAGAGGAGTTCAGTCCTTAGTGAAATTATTTGGTGAGAAAGATAAATTATTAGTTTGAATGATATTTTTTTTCATTTTTACCCTACCATTGTTGATCATCGAAGGTAGTTGGCGATTGATAATGATAATGATATGAACAAATAGGCAAATTAGGCATCTAGATAACACATAAATAAATAAGTATAGAACACATGGTCAAATACGTGACGTGAATAAATAGGTAGCTAGTGGACAGATAGACAAATGCAATATGGTCTTTGCCATTAAAAAAAAAAAAAACTCTTATTATGGTCTTTCAACTTGTTATTGTCCTTTTAGCCTCAGAAGTTTCAAAATTAAATTTATAGCTCAAGTGTCCTTTACTTTTTTTTTGGTGATTCTACCTGATGATACAGTTTGTTCCAGTGAATGTATCGAACTGGTCCAAGCTCCTCAAGCCCACGTCCAAATGATCAAGCCCACCGGATAACCTGCAAACAAGTTCAACGGGGAACTGGATAATTCCCCAGTGAACCCTCCGACGAGCAAGTTAAGAAGAGAAGTAGAGTACAGAGGGAGAGATTAGAGATAGAAAAGCTTAACCTTCTTCTTGTCTTCAACGTTTGCTTATATCCTTTGGTAATCATTTCGCTGTCCCTTTTGACCTGTCATCCTCGCCGAAAGTCTATGTTGGAGCTTACCTTGTTCAGGATAAGGGGGTCCTGTTCCGACGAAGAGATGTTGTCGTAATAAATGTTGTGATGGACTGCATTAATGGTGATATGCAGTGGCAATAACTTTGCAGATCTTTGTCTGCTGATGTGGCTCGTCCTTCACCTGCCATGTGTCTGAATGTCATTGGCTCTTTATGCCATGTTGGATTCCAGCTGTCCTGGACCTCACCAACTGGGTTATGTATTGGGCTCCAAGTGATGGGCTTGGGTTGTTCATAATGATTCATGGCCTTTATGGGCTTATACACATCAGTAGTCCCCCATTCCCAAGTGCAGCTTTAGTCCAACGAAGGGAATACTAATAAAGAAGATGAGGGTGTTAGGGATTGGCAGGATGGAGGTCGACCGGCAGGGGTAACCGAGAGGTGGTCCGACCGTGCAGGGGACCGAGTGGAAGGGCCGACCACGGGGAGGGCCGACCGCAAAGGTTGGCCGAGTGGGAGGGTCGACCATGAGGAAGGCCGACCGCGAAAGGTGACCCAGTGGGAGGGTCGACCACGAGGAGGGTTGACCGCGAAGGCGACCGCGGAGGTTGGCCGAGTGGGAGGGTTGACCACGAGGAGGGCCGACCACAAAGGGTGACCGAGTGGGACGGTCGACCACGAGGAGGGTCGACCGCGAAGGATGAGGTGGAGGGGCGTGGGGCTCGAGAGGCGGCGTGTCACGTGGTGATTTGAAGTGGAAAAGACAAGGTAAGAGGAGGGGACAGTAGATCTGTAGACGTCCCCAAACGCCCCGGGAGGATGAGTCCTGTTCTGTTCGTTTTGGGCTCACTACAGTTCGGACTCTAATTGTCACGGTTCTTAATCTGAACCAAAGAGTCCAAATCCGGCAAATCGTTTTGAAAAAATAGATTTTTGTAAAGAAGTGCGAAACATTGACTGCTTTTCCAGATACAGAGTCGCCATCTAAATATTTTATTTTAGGAAAATTTAGGAAACCCTGACTCGTTTGCCTAAGGCCACGTGTCCGTCATCACCAGAGATGCCTCGGCTCGGGAACTTGGGTACTATTGGGGAAGGTCAGCTATAAGCACCCCCTCTCACCCGATCCGAAGATCGGCCTCTACTAACCATGATATCTTGTTTTGAAAACATTATGCGTTCTTATTCTGGTCATTAGCCTAGATTTACTATGTGATGCGCACAACATACAAGTATAGACTGAATCGTCTGAGTTAGAACAAAACATTTCATGTTTTTTTTTAAAGCAGTTTGCTACTCGTAAGTAGGCTAAAATGCAGGTTTTGCCACCCTCAAGTGGGCTTTATAAAAGATGATTTTTGCCACTATCAAGTGGGCTTAAAACTCACGGTTTTAATGAATTATTCCAATTCAGGTAATTCAATCTCCATCCACAGGCATTCAAGCAGTTATATCACATAAGCAAATAGCCTCATGGTAATCATGCTGTCATGGCAACACTCACACGCATGCAAGGATGTGCTAAAGCATAAAAGCTTACCTAGTACTCCAAGCCAAAACAGAAACTAGTTAGTAATCATATGCATGATCCTAGTTCATGTCAAGATGGAAAATGCAACACATGCAGGATGCAGCTAGAATAGGCTCGGCTAATCTATGGATGGCATGTGAAATGCAATAACTAACACGTATTCAACTTGCAATTGAAATACAATTCAGTTAGTATGATGCGCCGAGCCCGATGCATGCAAGACAATGGTATGGATGCACGCATGCATAGCATAAGGTATGCTAATTTAAATATGACCTAATACTAACCATTGAAAGAAGGTAAGTAAAAGGGAGAAAGAAGTAAGGGTTGGAAGACATGCACCCACGCACACACACTTATTACAAATTCGCCCTCGCTCGGAGGGACGAAAAGAATAATACAGGCCAAGTAATGAATCAACTATCCAAGCTAATTAATTCAGACCCTTTTAATTAATTAACAAATTAATCACAAAAATAATTTAAATGTGAAGCTAAAGAGACTGTCGCAGCTCTGCCTCGGAATGCGCAAATGATGCATGCTTGACTCGTCTCGCTCGGAAATCCGTACCATGCCACTGTTGCCTCTGTTTACACTGCCCTGCTCCTCTGAAAATTTGCACAAGTCCCAAGGATATTTCTCTGAACACTGGGGAGCATCACCGACCAAGTAGGAACACCACCGGCCGAAGGGAATGGTCATCGACCATTGGTTGAGCCACCGGCTAATTGTATTTGGTCGGTCGGCTCTCCAAGTAGTCGGCCAGCTATTTCTTCCTGCAGAATCCTGCAGTTGACAGTAGCAGAGGGCAAGCAGTGTATGGCATGGAATTTTTAAGTAAATATGAGCATGGCTATACTCCCCATCATGCAATGAACTCAAGGGAGCATGACCCTCGGCCCTCGGGCCATCAATTATGCATTTTGATGCACGATGGCCTAAGAGGCCAAGTTTTCCATTCAATGTAAAATGCATGCAACAAAAGAGATGAATGCCAACACTCTATCATATTGAGATCAAAGGCGTCGGCGACCGAGGATTGAGACGTGTTACGTCACTTGGAGTACGAACACTCTCAATCCTCATGCTTGGTTTGACACCCCAAACCAAGCATGCATGTATACAAACATGGCTCAAGAATGCAACATGAGGCTAAGATGCAGAACATGCCAAATGCAATGCAATCTATTATGCAAGCATGCAATGTGTTAATCATGCAAGAGGCAATACAATGCAATTTAACATGTGATGCAAACATGGTACAATGCAAGCATGCAACGAAAGGCAACAAGTCAAACATACAACTATGTACAAGAATGGACTTAGACTGAAATGGGAGGCCTCAGCCACACCCTAAAACAGTGGCCAAAAGGATCAAAAATGACACAACTTATGCATGCAAGCATGCACACACCAAGGCCTATCATCTAAGCATGGAAGGAGACAACTCTAAGCATACTTAAAGGCAATATGCTTGGACATTAGACACTCATGTTAAACTCTGAAAAGCATGCAAAAGATGACACCAAGACATGCTAGGGAATGGATGCAAAATAAAAGGTATTTAAGGCCACAAAAGAGAGCATTGCTCAACACCTACCCCAAGCAAAACCCAAAACAGAGTTTTTATGCATCAAAATATGCCCCAAAACCCACTGATATGGCAGCCCCAAAAACTTAAATACATAAGCATGCACAATGCTCATTTCAAGGCACAAAAGGACACCTCTTCGAGGCATGAAAAGGGTGATGGATACAAGCATAGGAACATGGATTAGGGATTGAAATGGCATGTGAAAT